GCCCAAAACGCCATCAGACACGCTAACAAGATTGACTCAGAGGACGCCGATGAAGGAGGAGACCACTGGATCGTGAATGAAGATGAGAAAGTTGTCACTCGCGTCCATGTTGAAGTGCGAACTAAGCTGTTTGTCCCGATAGGGGCTAACTGCCCGGTCAGGATTAAGGATCTTGGCAGAAGACGAAGCACAGTCATCAACTATCTTGATGGGTCAACGGAGTTTGTCGTTGATGAGAACTGGCTTCAGGCTGAGCATGACCGAGGAGGCGATCATGAATGGACTGGAGAGACCCATTTTGACTGTGATTTCGATCAGATCGATGAGGATGAGGCTGAGATTTACGAGAACGAGGAGTACGAGCCAGAGGGAGGTGACGAACCGGACTTTGTTCCTGCAGATGAAGTAGAGGTCGAAGAGACTAGTGTCACTACAGCCCTGCCAGCCGAGAAGAAGGGGCGGGACTTCATCAAGATCGAAGAAGATCCGAAGTTTGCTCCATCGTCCAAACCAGGCCTGTTCTTAGGCTATCGCCTAGAACCAGGGGGGCTATGGAAGGGTGACTATCTCGTTGCTGATCTCGAGCACATCCAAAGAGGTCTCAGGAAGCCAAGTGTTCACCAGGTCAAGCGCATCTGGAAGAACCCTGAGGAGCCCTATGTGTTCCCAATGTTGGCATCCTACGATGCTAGGACTCGGACCATTCGGGAGGCGTTAGCTGACCGGAGGGCCGAAGTGAAGCCGAGCAAGAAGGTCAGGGATGAATTCGACTTCGATGAAGGTCGGTTTGATGACCCTGATGAGGACGATGATGATGACCATCGGGACGAGGGGGGCGGTAGCTCATCCAAGTCCGATGGAATCAATCAGAACCAAGCCGCCCTAGACGGTGGTGACGCATGTGTCTCAGATTGCTGGGAGCGGCATGACGAGGACAGCGCTTGGTACCGCATCCACGTCGAAGTGCGGAAGAAGTTCTTCGGGGCAACCGATGAAGACCTTCCCCCAGGTGGTCCTTCGCAGGAGGAGCTCGACACCGTTAGGGTCACGCATATGCGGGGACTTGATGCCGTTGGCAATTGGGTAAGGGATGATCGTCATCATGACGCTCCAAATCATCGGCATTTTACACGTGGATTTTGGACAGGTGTGACCATTCTCTTTGACAAGGGATGCGCTCCCCACGGTAGGTTCAGGCCGAAGGAAGAAGAAGCGAAGCCTGCCGGTGACTCGAAGAAGGGTCACAAGCTGCACGGAGATAGGATCGACTATGACCAATCCGCCGATAGGCGTGAGAGGCCATATGCCGGCACCGGGAAGCCCAACTCTATTGACGCTGATAGTTGGAGACAGATGTCTGCCCGATCACGGGAGATATACGTTCAGGCCGAACGGGAGATATCCCTGAGGGAAGAAGGCGTCGAGAACATCCTGAGAGGGACCCGGCTGCCCCAGCGCCAGGCCGCAAGCTTCTCATTGAGTTTGCTTGCGAGCCCGACTCACGCTTGTCTGCTGTGATGATGGAGTGTGGCGGCGAAGCAATTCGCGTACACATTGGCTCTTTTGACATCACGAAGGCTAAGGACGTCAGTCGGCTCATTGCGATCATCGAGGATAATCCTGGGTGTGATCTCTGGGCATCAATTCCGTGTGGACCATGGAGTACGTGGCAATATGTGAATCTTTCACTTCACGGTGCCGAATTTGCATCACATCTAAATGACCTGAGAAGGAACTCTCAGGTGATGTTTGCAGCATTCCTGCGAGCCTCCCGAGCCGTTAGGCGAGGAGGGGGCAGGGTTGCATTTGAGTGGCCTAGACACTGCCTTGGGTGGAAGCAGCCGTTCATGCAGAGGTTTCTTGCTGATCCTGATGTCAAGACCGTTGATTTTGACGGCTGTGATTTCGGAATGCAGGACAAGGACGGTGTGCCGATCAGAAAGCAGTGGAAGGTTGCGACGACCTCCAAGGAGCTCATTGAGGAACTCTCGGGTCGTAAATGCAAGCACGAGAAGGGTTACCTTCATGCGCGCATTGAGGGGTCGGTGACACCGACGACTGCCCTCTATCCGAGTGCTATGTGTGAGGCGATCGTTGGAGCTTGGTATCCGAACGGCACATTCCCAATCAAGTCGATAGATTTGGTTCGGTCACTGAGTATTTCCGGGCAAATCCGATTCATGCGGCCCAATGGGGTAGGCGTATGACGACTTCCGTTAGGAAGTTCGCCCGCCACGACACTTATCTGTCTTTCTATATCCGAATGGCGTACGTGATTGGTGCTGCGGCTGGTCATCTGACTCCCTTGTATCCGACCCACAGGAAGGATGCAGACATACTGGCTAGCCACGTCTTGATGACGAATCTCAGGAACTACATGGTCTCGGCAACAGGATACGACGAGAAAAAGAGATTGAGGGAGGCGGTAGCCAAAGTGCAGAAGGCAATCAGTGCTGGGCAATCAGAGCCTCCTGCTCCCTTCCGTGATCCGTTCGTCTACGTTAGTGACGAAAGGGTGAGGACGATTCTTGATGGTCGTCAGCCGGAGCCGCTGGATGTGAACGTTGAAGAGCTCCAGTCGGTGCATCATGCTGCGCAGGGTCCTGGTCCGAAGCAGGAGCCGATCGTCAAGGGCGGGAAAGGAAAAGGAAAGAAAGGAGAGAAGGGCGGTAAGGGCGGTAGTCCTTCCGGCCCACCACCAAAGTCAGGTGAAGCGCCAGAGAAAGGGTCTGGTAAGGGCGATAGTCCTTCTGTCCCACAGGCAAAAGCGAAAGCTGATGCAGGGCCGGCTCCGATGGAGGTTGATACCCCTGTGGCTCAACCAAAGAAGACTTGGGTCGCGATAGCGGTTGAAGGAGCCCGGCCAAGTGCAAAGGCAAAGATGACTCCGGTCCCAAAGGCTGAGCCGAAGGGAAGGGCTGCCTCAGTGACTGAGGCGAAGAGTGCTTCAGCCCCGAAGGCTGAGCCTAAGGGGACGAAGCAGGCCGACCCGAAAGTTGAAGTCAAGAAGGAGAAGGTAGGCGGTGCTGATGCTCCCGGCGGTAGTCGAGGCTCAGCTGAAGGGCAGAAGAGAGAAAGGAAGTCCCGTTGGGATCCTGACGAGACTGTGAAGGAGTCGACGAAGCGGGAGGCATCGACAAGGCCTGATGACGTTGACAGCAGACCAGGTGCGGCAGCAAGAGAGGCTAGTGGGGATGATCTTCACTCTGCACTTGGTAGGTCTTCGGCAAAGGACGCGGTAGCACCTCTGACGGCCTCCAAGGCAATGGCAAAGAAGCCTGAAAGTGGGGAGGTCAGGTTGCAGTCGGCTGAACGAATTGCGGCGAGTCCGGTAGAAGGTCACTTTCTAGCGCTGCCTGAGAGTTCGGTGGTGGACGCTCTCCTGTCGGTTTCTACCAATAGAGTGCTGAACAGGCAGGTCAGGGAGTTCATCAGAAATGGTGAAGAAGCTTCAGCACTGGAGGCTCTCAATCAGATCGTGACGAACTCTCGTTCTGGGAGGAGACGCAGGGACTCGGACGTCTCCCGCACTCCATCTCGGAGGTCCGTTAGGACCGTGGACTCCAGGGATTCCCGAGAATCGAGAAGGCGCAGATACCGTCCGCGGCGCGAGGATGATCGTGACCGGAGGAGGGACGATGCTCGAGATCGTCATGATGATGACTCACTCGATCGGGAGCGGGATCGAAGGCGAGATGATCGCAGGAGATCCGAGAGGGATCGTGATAGAGACCGTGCGCGGGGCGGACGTGACCGGAGGAGACGTGACGATAGCCGGTAGGCTGAGTCACGAGGGTTGCGGCCGATAGGCTTGCGTCCATTCTCCAATGGTCGGCGCGGTGCGGAGGTGGTGATGTTCCTCCCGGACCGCTGAGGCGCGGAGGTCATGTCTCTCCCATACCGCTGCTGGGCTGCTGGACGTGTTCATCAGGAAGCAGTGTGAGTGAGAGGGAAAGCAAGCTAATGGGGGGTTACTCCCGGGTTTGCGGAATTCAAGCATTTTTCAGGTACGCATGGTCAGGAGTACCTCTTGCCGATAGGCGAGGGTACTAATGGACATACGTTATCTTTATTTCATGGCTTCTGATAAGAATTAAACTTCTTGCATTGCTGATGCAAACAGTTGTGGCCTAGTGTCGTCACGTGGACTCTTCCACAAGGTGTGTTGGACAGCGTTACCCCGATTAATTCGGGGTGGTGGCGGGAATTTAATGCCCGGGATGTCGCGCAACTGCCTTTGTGGGTTTGCTCCACCGCTGACGGCGGGGAGTGTCCAGCTGTTTGCGGACGCATGCGAGCAGTTAAATCCTATCAGTAAATGGCACGCTCCACCCGTCATATGACGGGTTCCTCGTGAGGGGGGTGTGATTAGCCATGGCCATTTCATCAACAGGGATAGTGACGAACTGTGGTTTAACTCAATTTTGGGTTCCGTCGCCTCGAATGGGCGTCGCCGAACCCCTGCGTCGACCGACGGCATCTCGGGGGAGAAAGAGACCTCGGGCCGCCGCCAGGTTGGTAGGGACCAGTCGTGCGGCCTGTTGTCGACCAAGGTTGCGGGTTAACCCTTTTCTTGTTTGGTTTGTTTTCCTTTGGTTGTTGTTCTCTGGTGTGTGGGAAACCCTGATCTTTGGGACCGGGGATTGGTTTGCTTTTGGGGAACCTTTCTTTTGTGGCTTGTTTACCCCAACTTACCCATTGCCTGGGCACAGGCTCGTGCCCGAATCACATTTATATACGTCTATTTGCAGATGTATATGTTTATTTATCTACTGATACTATAGATTGATATTTGTATGTGTTTACTTACTTATTACGTACATATGCACATGCACACAGACCCACACATACATCTCTCTCTCTCTCTCTCCCACATTCTCTCCCTGTCTCTTTGAACAATTGAACAAATCAGTCAGTAAACAATTAAATACATATATATACATATACATATATATATATATGTATATATAAACCGAGGGGGTTTTTACCGAGCGAGCCAGGCGAAGTCGGTGGTCATGACCATGTGGCCCAATGGCCGTGTGCTGCGGCGGTGGTTTTACGAGGACGGCGGGTTCCAAGGTTCCAAGGGGGTGGTTGGGTGGGTGGGGTGGGGTGGGTGGGGTGGGGTGGTTGGGTGGGTGGGGTGGGGTGGTTGGGTGGGTGGGGTGGGGTGGGTGGGGTGGGGTGGTTGGATGGGGGGGTGGGGTGGTTGGGTGGGGTGGGTGGGGTGGGTGGGGTGGGGTGGGAGGGTTGGGTGGGGTGGGAGGGGTCTTTGGATCGGATGAGATATGGACTCATGAGACGCCCATTGGGTCGCTCCCATTTGTGTTGATTCCTCATTGAGCGCCCATGAGTGAAGAGTGGGGTGGGGCAAATGGGCAAATGGACGTGGACCTTTCACCTCCTATGAGAGTTTGGGGCGCGATGCTGAGGACCCATTGAATGACACTCTGGCTGAAGCCCGCGCGGCGGTGGCAGCACGGCTTCCCGGCTTGCCCTTTACTCTTGAGCTCTGAGCGAGTCAAAAAGAGGCTGCGTCTCAAAATGGGGAACCCCTGCTGTTTGAAGGGGACGCCAAAAGGAAACCAACCAAGGGACTGTGAGTCCGACTATTTTGGGACCAAGTTGGGCGGGTGAGCTTTTGTTCGGGCTGTCTTTGGGGCCAAACACCCAACTGTCCAGCCATGGGCATCGGCCATGGGCCACGGCGCCTTCCGCGGCTTCCGCGCGGCTTCCGCGGATCAATTAGAGAGGTGCAGAGTCGAGCACGAGCAACTGAAAGACAGAAAGACGTGACTCGCAAGATCGTCAGCTCACCAGTCCCAGCTTACCAGACCCAGCCATCCCAGCCTTGGATTCGTTTTTAACCATCGCGCCAAAGAGACCCGGAGCGCATGGGACCGGCCTGACCGCTGCCTGGCCGCAAGATAAACCGCGCAGCTCTTTCGATTTTTTTTTGTCGGCGGCGAGGCCTCGGCCATGGGCAAGGACGGCTGGTGGGGCAAGAAGGGTGACTGGAAGGGTCAGGCGCGGAGAGCGCGCGGAGGGGGCACGGAGGCCAAGCATCCGGAAAGCCAAGGAGCTTGGGCAAGATCACCATGCGCGCCGGCTTCTTCCATTTGTTTAAGGATGTTTTTTAGTTTCCCCTGATGGTTTTAAAAGGAATCGATCACTACTGGACATATTTGTATTTTTTCCTGGGGGCTTAGGCAAATAGAAGGTTTCGTTGTCCTTTGAGTGAGCCACTGCTCCCTGCGCGAATGCGCAAATGCATGCGCGCACGCGGACGCATGTGGAGGCCAAATGGGGCAAGGGCGCTGCGAGCGACTTGCTTGCACTGGTGGCTTTCCTTCAGCACGCGATCCTGTTCTCGTTTCACCCCAAGCGGGTGGATCCACAAGAAGAAGCAGCATGACCCACACCCCTGGAAAGACCCGTTTTGCGCGGGTGAAGAAGCCATGCCCGCCCCAAAAAACCGTCGGCCTCGAAGCCCTTCCGCACTTCGGGGTGATCTTTAGGGTGGGGAAATGGGGAAAAGCCACGGGCCCCTCGCCGCCAAGCTGATGTTTCTCACTTTGGCGGGGCAAATTTGATGTTTAGGGCGGGAAAAATGGGACACCACAGCAACAACCCCCAGTTTTCTAACTGTTCTTTTGGGCGGAAAAAATTGGGGAAGAAAAACACGGCCCCCTTGCCGCACGATGTTGTTTTTTCTCGCGCGTCTGGCTGAGGTGACAAAGGCAACTGGATCTCGCAGCCTGAGGAGCCCGAGCTGAAGCGGCAGCGCATGGGGAAGGATGGCTTCAAGGGCAAGGAGCTTTTTGCGAGAGATGCTTGCCGCTCTGTCAGGTCTAAAAAGCGGTGTTCCTCCGAGTTTCCCTTTAAAACCAGGCAACGAAAGGGTACACTCAAACAAACAACGTTTTTTTTTTTTTGTTTTTTTTTTTTTTTTTGTGTGTGTGTGTGTGTGTGTTTTTTTGGCTTTCCTTTAACACCCACCAATTCGAGCGTTTTTTTCCTCAAAACGACACCCATATTGACCCCGGATGGTTTTGTTCCCTTCACCGTGCTTGGCTTCCCAAAACGGGTTGGCATTTTCTTGGCATTCAGCGCCACCTGGAACTCCCCGGAGAGAAGGTTTGGAAACTTTGCCTGGCAGAGGAAAGCCAAAGCAAAGGAGCCACAAAGACCGTTTTTGTATGTGTCATCAAAAAATGGAGCTGGTCAAAGCACGTGGTTTTCTTAACAAACCGATCGACCGTAGAGCCGTAGAGCACAAAAGTCAATGTGATTTTTGGGTGGCTCTCATGAGGGTTGCCGAGTGCAAGCATGAGCTTGAAGCATGAGCTTCTTCCTGGCGATTGCTCAGCCTTTCGTGTGGCCAAAAATGGTGTGGGTCAAAATTACGCCGCCGGAAAACTGCAGGGCTTAGCCAGATGTCCATGTTGGGGTTATACATTTTTTACACTTTTGATGGGGAATAAGGAATGGTGGTCTTATTTCAGAGTCTTGACCGGATTTCTACTTTGGTTGTTGAAAGAACGTGTTTCTTTGGCCCTTGTTGGTCTTGTCTTTGGTGCACTAGTGTGGTTCTCGTTTTGACCCTGGTTGGGGGCCTCGGGTGCGGTCGGGTTGGTTTTGCCCCAAGGTTCCCTGTGCTCAGGGGCCTGAGAATTGGGTGTTCGCGCTGTTGGGGAGCATCGCCAATTGCCAAACTCTGAGCCAGTCGGTCACCAACCTTGATTTACCTCGTGCTGCACCTTCAGATGCAGTACGTCTGCCTGTCTACAAGACTACACCCCAGCGGTTTTATCAAGGACCTCCCAAGGTCCCGTTTTGCGGGACCCCCTTTTTGGGTTCCATGTGAAGTTGCACCGGGGGCGCTCATCTTTGGGACGCGACCTAATCTGGGTACGTTTCTTCTTATGTAGTTCTATTTTTCTCGGGGTGGGGGGGGGGTGATTCAGAGGTACACTCAAAACTAGGTCCTGCAGTAGTGCCCTTGTACCCTTTTTTGGGGGAGGGTTCCCCTACTAAGATGGAAAAACCGAAAAAAGTTGGAACCAACTTATTCTATCCTCTCTACTGCAGGACCTAGCAAAAGACCCCAACAACAAGGGAACCCCCTTTTTTGTTTTTGTTTTTTCTCGGGGGGGGGAGGGGGGGAGGGTGGGTGATTCAGAGGTATGCCCAAAAGACCCCCAAAAAGGGGACCCCCTTGGGAGGACCTGAAGGGAGGGCTGGGCATGGGCAACGGCATGCTGGAGAAGCCAGGCTTCGACGCCCGAGCCTCAACTCCCGTTTACGGGATGTTCACTAGGGGTACGGGATTTGACCCATGGCCATATCTAAGCATGGGCATATCTGAGTTTAGGTGGGGAATCATCACTTTTGGAGGGTCCCCCACCCCCTATCAAAAAAAAGGGGGTTGATTAAGATATGGGGTCAACATTAGACCCAAGACCGCTTTCGGATCACGCCATCTCCCGCCGAGGTCAGCATGTCCAAGGGTTGCCGGGACCCTGGCACCGTGGTTTTTCGGTGTGTGACTCACGCCGACGTGCCCATCCGACATCTCAGGCCTAATGGGCAAGGGCCCGATGCCGGGGCTGCTGAGCTGCAATAAGGTCACGCAGATGGCTCCAAGCATGGGCCCGCTTTCATATGGCCCCCTGTCCATATGGAGGGCAGCCAGCAGGCTTGAGCCAAACATGTTTGAGCCGCCACTATTGTTGAAAAGACTCCTGTTGTTTTGGTTGTCCTTTCAAGATGGCCAAGGTCTGCTTTCTGAACGTGTTGCAGCAAGTTTACTTGCTGGTGCGGTAGAATGAACCCAGGCTTTGGTCTCCTTGAGAGAAACCACCAGTTGGATAGTTTATAAGGGTCCTTCCCCCCCCCATTTTCCCACCAGCAAGTCAAACCCAACCAGAATATTCAGAAGTTTCTGCTTAGGCCGCCTGTTCTGCCGCCCGGTTTGCCGGGTTTGCCACCCACCCTGCCGCCTGGCCTGATGCCGCTGACGGGGCCGGGGCCCTGCATGGCCAAGGCGGGGGCGGCCGAAGTTTGCTGTGAGCCCCATGTTGGATTGGTAGGGGGTGCCTGGTTAGCAGGGAGTGTGCCCTGGGGAATGAGGGAATCAACCCAGAATTTTCCCTTAAAGGAACCCGCAAGGAATAGTTTATAGGGGTCATTCCCTCATTCCCTGGGGAAGCACTGGAAGCACTCACAAAAGATCCTCAATTGAGGGGATTCCCCCCAAACATCGAAGCATCGAGGAGCACCCGGGTCAACCTTCAACTTTCTGCCTGTTTCGGCCCTGGTCCATGGGTTTTGGGTCGGCGAGGCTTTCATGTGCTAGAGCTTGCCAGCTGCGAGGCCTGCCAGCCGCCAGGGAAGCTGGTGCGCCCGACACAGGTGCAGGGTGCGCGAAGTCGCACGGCTCCCTTCTTTCCTGGAATTGGAGGCAGTTTTTTCCAAGCATGGGGAGTTTTTTTTTTTTTGGGGGGGGCCTTTTCAAGTGGATGGTGGTTGAAACCCCAGCTTGTCCACTTCCATGATGAGTGGGATGTCCTCAATGCCCCCGAGTGTTTTGCAGGTACTCCTGGCACCTGCGACAAAGCACATAACGCCGGGACCTTGGGTTCCTCGATTTACCGGGCATGCCTGGTCCCTAAGGCCGGTCTCCAGCAAAGGAAGCAATCAGAACAAGAAGATAGCGATGGAGCATCTTGGCTGCGCTTTCTCCCCGGGTGCGAGCCCGGCTGCCGCAAAGGTGTTCGCCGGCCAGCTGACGGTAACATGTTGCCGGGACATCCCTGAAAAAAGCGGTCTTCCCCATGTCTTTCCCAAACCAACAGTAGCCCACTAATCACATTGTCGCTTGCTACATGCACACACACACACAGAAACACACACACACACACACGCAGATACAGACACACAGACACACAGACACAGACACACACACACACACGTACACACAGACACCCACACACACACACAAAGACACACACACGCAGACACACACACACACAGACACACACACAGACAACACACACACAGGCACACAGACAGACACAGACACCGACACAGACACAGTGCAGACAGAGCCAAACACAGCACACACACACAAGTACAAGCACAAGCACAAGCACAAGCACAAACACAAACACAAACACAAACACAAACACAAATACAACCACAAGCACAAGCACAAGCACAAACACAAACACAAACACAAACACAAACACACACAAAGCACAAACACACAAACACACAAACACACAAACACACAAACACAAACACACACACATAAACAAACACACACACACACACAAACACACACACAAACAAACACAAACACAAACACAAACACAAACACACACACACACACAAA